CAAAAAGAAACACAAAAGTAGAAAAATACAAAATGAACACCAGATATGAATGTCTCATGTCCGAATGCATCGGGAGAGATATGTGCAGGTAGAATAAAGTAAGGCCAAAATATTAATACTGAAACTGTGGGGGAAACGCAAAAACTCAACCACGTGAGAGCTAACCAACATGGAATGAACGTGCAACATGAATTGTTTAGGTTATGAAAACGATGGTTTTAATTTGCCTGTCATCACAGTTGAAACATGACAAATTACAAACATGCCATGACAGAAACTCAACGCAATACGGCCATCGGTGGACTGCAGACAGGCGACTCAACTTCTGTAAATAGTCGAGTCTGGACCAGACAATCCAGTGATCAACAACATGAGCATCGATATGCGCAACTGGGAACCGATGACATGTGTCAAGCAAGTCAGCGAGCCTGACCACCTGATCCCGTTAGTCGCCTCTTACCACAAGCATGGATTACTGAAGATTCTAACCAGGACCTTCACGGGTCTCTTCAATTACAGCAATATCTGGATTGCGTAGGAATTCAGCGCAGACAGTACAGAATCGTCTTCGCGCCGCAGGTATGTATTTATCCGAGACGTCGAGGTTCGAGACGTTATCGGATAAATCGGCATTGTCAGTTGCGACGTCAGCTGCGACGTCAGTTGCGTCTATGACACAGGACATCAGCGACGGAGATGTGTAGGGTTTAGTGACGACTCGCGTTTTTAAGCTTCTCCGTACAGACGGAAGATGTCGTTGGAAACGTTTGCTCGAAACAGCATTCTGGATGTCGACATTATTGGTGGAGAGAGTTCAATGAGGGCCGCCATCTCCTATACCGGTAGAACAGACTTGGTCAACTTTATGGACAATTTAACTACACAACGTTACAGATGAAATTCTTCGGCAACACGTCCTCCCTATTTTGAACATTCCCCAGGACACAATTCGTAATCTGAGTAGCTCCATGAGGAGACGATGCCAGGCAGTTCTGGACAATACAAGACACTGAGAACAGAAGACCTGCACCATGGCATTGGATTGTTTCATGATGAACCTCGGTCAGTGACAATGATTTGTGCCGAATTTGAACAGTTCATTATGATCTTTTGATCATGTATATATGATAAAAGTATAAATCTAAAAGCCACTGTTGCTTTTCTTTTTTTGCAGAGTATACATTGAAAACAATACTCATACGTCCCATACTTTTGCGTATTTGCGTAATGCATCGTAAATGGACCTAACTTTTGTTACCAACCAAAACATGTTAAAAGAGGTCATAAACATGTCGTATTGTTACGATATTTTTATTAATGATCAGTTTAAGTGCTCATTGAAGTGTTTTACACTGTATTCACCATTATAACACAGGCGCTGCTAATGTCACTTTCACAAGACTTCCGGGTCGATACTCTCACACTTATTTCACAGCGATTAGTCACACACAGACATGAACAAATGTATATTTAAAGGTGTTCAGATTACATTTTTCTATTTTCATGACAGGTTTATAAATATATATAGTTGTCGACCTTTGAAGTTTGAAGTAGTATCACGAATTTTACAAAGACATCTTCGTGTGTCTTTTGCTTAAAGGTGAAAACAAGCTATTTCGGTGAGAAGGAATATCGCTTATACTGACTGACTGAGTTTGGTTTTACGCCGCTTTAAGCAATATTCCGGCAACATCACGGCGGGGGACACCGGAAATGGGCTTCACACATTGTACCCATGTTGGGATTCGAACCCGGGTCTTTGGCGTGACGAGCCAACGCTTCAGCCACTAGGCTACCCCACCGCCCCCGAATATCGCTTATAACGACAAAAATATCGAAAGTGTGTTTTTTTACGATTTTTTTCCGCTTTGGTAGTGATAAACATGATTGTGAAGTTCCATCGCGTGATTACAATCTGGGTAGGATTCGACCACCATGTGCCAGAGAGCGGTTATATTTAGTAGTGAGCTTGGTCCACACGCTTCAAACACTGCATCTGCACATCCTCTTCATTTCAGATTGAACTAGTAATGTACGCATACTACATTCGCCGCTAAATATAGCTGTCCGCAGTCACTGTAGTCCTGTATGGAACCCGTGAAGATCCGGGTTCGAATTAATCTTCAGTAACCCAAGCCATTCGTCACCACTCGCCCCTTTCCGTAAACTCCAAGAAGACTCAATTCGTCACCACTCGCCCCTTTCCGTAAACTCCAAGAAGTCGCTATTCGGCTTGTCCCGGAATATCACGAGTTGGTCACGAATGTAACCCAAGCCTGTCGTACGAGGCGACTAACGGGATCGGGTGGTCAGGCTCGCTGACTTGGCTGACACATGTCATTGTCTCCCAATTGCGCAGATCGATGCTCATGCTGTTGATGCACTGGATTGTCTGGTCCAGACTCGATTATTTACGGACCTCCGACATATAGCTGGAATATTACTGAGTGTGGAGTAAAACTCTCACTCACCCTGTATGGTATCTTAATCAATTGGAGATGCTTTTCGTGATATACGTGAGTGATTGTGCATGATTTTATTCCGCTGTTGAGTAACGAGCGAACACTTTAACCACAAGCCTACTCCACCGTCCTTACGCCACATTTACTGCCGTAGAAATAAGAAGACCGTATGCACACGTGTTTGACGGTATCTAAAACCAAAATATACGTGAAGTGTATTTTTTCATGGTGATGTATGTGATACGAGTATCAAAGTTGGGTGTTTGGGACCTAAGGTTGCAGTGCTCTGTTACTTAACATGGCAGTGTTACGGTCTTAGGTCAGTAAAGTTATGATATTTTGGGGTCAAATCCAGTGTTCAAGTGAAATCTCTGACCTGACAGTTAATATCGACCCGGGGCAAGATCAGTTGCAATGTGTCGATATATCGATCGTTACATCCTCAATTTCGCTTGGGTGTTGAGTTTACTTAACGCCGTAACAACATTTCCTGCAATATGATCCCGATTTGTAAAACAATCGAGTATAGGGCCAGATAATCCAGTGATTGACATGATAAGAATCGAACTGCTCGACCGGGATACGATTCCATGGAGTCAACAAAACCTCCAAGCTTGACAACCCAATCCATGTAATCGCCACCGAGGACAAGCCATGGTTTGTAGGAGCCTATGAATCCCAGTAGCTTCTCATGAATATATAGGGACGGTAGGGTAGCCTAAGCCTAAGGGTTAAAGCGTTCGCTCGTCACCGTTGCATATTACCGTTATTCAAATTTGTGAACAGAACAGGGCACCGCCTAGCATTTGTCTGATGTTTATATAAGAAACAATACTGAACCGCACTGAGATATATTCCGGATTCAAAATCGTACGGACGGACGAACGAACGAGCTCGTCTCTGACCCTCGTTAAATAACGTTTAGGGATTACTAGTTAAATTAGGGTAGGCTAATGGTTTAAGCGTCCGTTCATCACGCTGAAGACCCGAGTTCGATTCCCCACATGGGTACAATGTGTGAAGCCCATCTCTGGTGTCCACCGTCGTAATATTGCTGGAATATTGCTAAAAGCGGCGTAAAACCATGCTCACTCACTCACTTATTCCACATGGATATATTGTCACGCATAATTCATATTTGCTGTTTCAGCAGCTGTAGGTTATTCACATCATAATGCCAGCCCCGAGATAACGAGGGAATATGAAGATATATATATTAGGGCGGCATGTAATACCTGACACGATGGTTACTTCAGCCTGCCACGGTGATTTATAACATTAACAGAGATAGCGATGGGAACGATGTGTTACATTCATTAGCTGTTGTCACCTTGGAGTCATTGGCAAGCGCTGTGTATTCACGTGGGCGCTGTTTTAAGTGTGCTCACTGTTGGTGCACGTCCACTACGGGAGCGGCAGGCAGTCGGTGTGAGTTTGGATCAATAGATGGTTGTATTGTGTTGGGAGGGACTGGCTTTACAAGGCATTTCCTGGGGTCGAGGTGGTGGTTCGGTTGAGGTACGGGGAGCTTGGGGGCAAGGAGTAAAATGCTTAGGATACTGGGAAACAGAAACTTGAGGAGAAAGTGATTGGAGAAAACGTTAGGAGACGGGAGTGGAGACGAGGGAGTGTGGAGGAATGGGTAAACATGAGCGGGAACAGGGAGTATGAATTATGTGTTAGAGGACGTGTTTGAGTAAGAGATGATATAGTGAGTGAGTAAGGTTTTACACGGCTTTTAGCAATATTCCAGCAATACCACGTCTGAGGACACCAGAAATAGGCTTCACACATTGTACCCAGGTGGGGAATCGAACCCGGGTCTTCAGCGTGACGAGCGGATGCTTAACCATTAAGCTACCCCACCGCCCCTGAGAGAAGGGAAAGCTAAAGCTAAAGGGAAAATGGTCTAAAACCAACGTTAAAAACACTACAATGTTATTTCAATGAGACAATATTGTATATATTTCCAAACTAAAAGTAGAGCATGGGTTACACAACAACAGGAAGTGCCTTAGGGAGAGGCATATATAACTCCTACATACAACAAGTTTCCAGTTGTTACCGCTCAGCAAAATAAACGAAGTTGAATGGTGTACCAGAGAAAACAATCCCCACAGGCGCGCGCGTCATACACCCACACCACGACATTGGGAGAAAGCCAGGAACGACCTATCTCTGAGTGAAACCTAGATCGTAATGTGCAAATCGTGCTGTCTGCGTTTACCATGGCACATATGTGTAAATATAAAAGATATCAACGAAACGGTCCCAAGCACGGGTTTCCTGCTCACGTAACCACTGTCGTCACTGACATCCCCGACCCGTACACATCCTCGCGCACCATCAACAATCAAATATGACGTCTTACCCCTTGTGGAGATCCCCCACACTACCTCCCCACTTCTGCCGAACCGACCCTCCCCTCAGTCGACTTCTGGGACATGATTGGAGGAAGCCTAACACTTCGAATGCTGTGTGGTTTAGGCAAATAGAAGGTGCCACTGACTAGCCAATCAGCGTCCACTTCCGGTCCACCTGTAGACCCCATGCGACGGCGTGATGTTGTAGGTTGATACTGGCGTGTTGTAAACGAGAACATAGTCTGTGAATCTTCTCTAATAAGACTGGACGCCACTTAGCAGCTAAAGCACAAAATGAAAAAGGTAAGCCTGTGATATTTTAATAACGTCGTTTTTCTTCTGTTCATATGGACTATTCAATGAACATACACATGAATATTGTTTTAATAATTAGAATGGGCATATTTATACTGCGCCCTATCTTTACCATAAAACCACGCTCAAAGCGGAATATAGCATAAAAATACTGTATATTTATGAAATACAGAAAGAAACTCATGACGGATCGATGAAGATGGGTCAGTTTATGTCAAAGTTGGTTATATTGATTTTTCTTATATATAATCCACATGTTTATCAAAGTTGTTCTCGGTACTATTGCCTCGTGCATACTCTAGATCTGAGGGAGGGTCATGGATTGACCTCAAGGTTTTCATTTCGATGTTTTTATCCAAACAAAGATTGGCATGCTTTAGATACTCGATATTCATTTCGACAAACGTAACGGTTTGTTAAAATACAACGAGAAATTCTCATCTATCCTTTGTTCTTTGGAGCTCGAGGATGTGCATGTGATTCTTGCCTCGCGGATTTCTCGTCACACGTTTTATGTAAATAGGTCGATTTACAGATACAGGTGTTGTAGACACACCTGCTCCGAAACACTCTGACATCTCAAACTTTAAAGGCGTGATGGGATAGTCTTGTAGTTTAAGCGTTCGCTCGCCAAGCCGACGTCCCGTGTTCGATTCTCCATATGCGTGTATTAGAAGTCCATTTGTTGAGTCCCCGCCGCGGTATTACTGGGATGTTAAACGGTGTTATACGAACCTCTGATACCCATTCACATAGTCGGCACTTATTGTTTCCCTTCCGGGATAAAACGGTTTAAGAGATTAAGTATGGCACGGAGTAAGTATATTTAAACAGCGTCGAAGTGGGTATCAATGATACATTTGCGGCAGTATATAACATTGGTCCGACTAGAAGAGGCACACACACAAATACACGAGCACGTCACCGTATATAAGCGCTACACTCTTGAAGACGATGGTACGCAATTTCACCACCGCTACCTATAACACTTTCACATGTTAGTTCCTCCTCTGGTTATTTCCATATTTGTAGGGCGGTGGGGTAGCCTAGTGGTTTAAGCGTTTGCTCGTCATGCCCAAGACCCGGGTTCGATTCCCCACATGGGTACAACGTGTGAAGCCCATTTCCGGTGTTCCCCGCCGTGATATTGCTGGAATATTGCTAAAAGCGGCGTAAAACCATCATCGCTCACTCACCCTTAATTGAACGAAAGTGTCTAGGTTTGATGTTTCACCATGACAACCTTATTGATGTTCCTTGAGCCTCCTCCTCCTCCTGCACGACGTTTGACCTGTACAAGACCAGTTATCATTTTATTCATCAATCATATGACCAGTCACGTACCAACGGAACGGACGCGACATTATACTTCCCCAAACCAGAGTTGTAGTCTTAATCTGAATTTCATGTTCTGATGACCAAGAAACGGATTAAACGCATGTTTTTGAGATCTATTCGCCAGTAGACATTTCACTGGCTCGGATTTAATGATTCGTTGACTGAATTCGTGGGATGATTGAATCATAAATCCTATCGCTGATACACATTAGAGTCAGGTTGTGTTTAAATGTCATCACGGGGATTTTCGTTTGTCGACTTCATTAACCAACAATGAGATCTGCTTGAATGGATCTCGTATTTAAGAGGTTCAATTTTCAATGTCAATATTTGAAAATCACCACAAAACATTATAGATTATATATGTATTACATTCATGTTTACCTAAAGGCTGTATGTGGATCAGTCAGTTAAAACGAAGCAATGCAAAGATACAGCTGTAAAAGAATCGGATGATAGTTCTTTCGATTTCTAGATTAGCCGTGGTTTTGATAGTTTAGGGGTTTGTTGTCAGGTTCTCAACTAACACGATGGGATATAACTGAAATGGGCTGCTATTCCAAATACACCTCACACTGAGCCATTGCACATTCCATGAGTGAGTGAGTGAGTGAGTATGGGTTTACGCCGTGTTAGCAATAGTCCAGCAATATAGGGTTTACGCCGTTTTTGCAAACCACTAGGCTCCAGCCCATTCGATTCCAAGATTCTACATGTCTTGAGAGGAATAGCTTCGCCGCGCTCACGCACGCACGCACGAGAAAACGTTTTACGATTCTACTTCACCGTTGAGAAAGTGACTTCGTTTCCTTGGTGTACCGTGTTATGTTTGGGGTTACGCTTTTTCTATAAGTGTGGGTTCGAATCCAGAATAAGATGCCACCTCCAAAACTCGTAGAAAGTCTACTTTACAGTACAACCAGAAATTATTGAAAATTTAAAGATTGTAATTTATGTATTTTCTCACTCATTACTCACGTATTAAATGTGAATATTAGCAGAACATAACTCCAGATTCAAAGACAGTTAGTATTTTGTCAAGTCACCATGGGCAGCAATGCAGGCTTCAATGCGGCGGGGCATACTACTGATACTTCAAAGAAGTAAGAAAGTCGTGGCCCATGCTGTCCCAATATCGGACCACCTCTTCTTTCATTTCAGCAATATTTGTCAGATTTTTCTTATTGACACTTTCCTTCATAAGTCCCCAAACATTTTCTATTGGATTTAGGTCAGGGCTATAGCTTGGCCAATCTAATAATGTCATATTTTGGGTCCGAAACCAGGCCTGTGAATGCTTTGAACGATGTTTTGGGTCGTTGTCCTGCTGGAAAATCCAAAAAGTTCCATAGAAAACGTAAGCAAATGGAAGTAAATGTCCGTCGAGAATATCTGTGCACCGCTCACTGTTCATATTCCCTTCAAATACACAGCGGGGCGTTGCCCCTAACACAGATATGCCACCCCACACGTTAAATTTCGGGCTGTACTTTGGGCGCTGATACAAAGGTTTTTTCAGTTTGTTTGGTCCAGAATTTCAGTGTATTAGGAAACAGCCACACAGAACTTTCATCTGAGAAAATCACATTGTCCCAGTTAAAATTTCTATGCTGTAAGTACCAGTTCAACCTTCGCTCCTTTTGTTCAGGTTTCATGATCGGTGATTGAATTCCTCGACTTTTCTGCCAACCTATTGCATGCAGCTCAGTTCTAATTGTCTCCTTACAGACACCCACAGTTCCTCTATCAATCATATCCAGCCTTAAGTTTTCTAAACTCCTTCGTTTGTTGTTAGAAACAAGAATACCAAGCCGCCTCCTGTCACCGACAGTCAATTTTCTGGGCCTACCTGCGCCTCCCTGGTGCTCAATGCCATATCCATTTGCAATATTTTTCAAAACACGATAAACAGTGGACAAAGGGATGCTTACAAACGTTTGGTTACCGGGTTGAATATGGCGACAACCATGATGAACTATGGCCTAGAATTACCACTGTGAAAACTATGACATGTGACGCTTTTAGTTAGCGGGTTGAACACAGCTGATCTTAACCATTAGGTAATATTAATATGTGTAATACGTTTTTATGTGTGGAGTCAAGTGGGCATGCTGATTTAATCATAAACATTTAGTAATATTTTAATCATTTTGGGTAGACCGCACTTAAAATGAGGCGGAAATGAAATGGACCTTTATATTAGGCGGTATTTTGGTAGTCTACCTGAAGGGTACATCAAACATATTAAACGTGTGTGCTCGTATTCGCTAATGGCCTTGAAGGATACAGGTGTGAATAGGTTCTACAGGTGCTAACAGTCTCACGTTCATGGTTAATTTGGGAGTGTTTCACGTAAACCATCTACAAACTCAAAGCCGTATTCATTAATATAAACTACAGATGCTAATTGATTTTCGTTTCATAATTTAAGCGTTTTATGATTTATGTCTCGTTTGAATATGAAAGCCATGTGCATTAGCCTTCTGTACTTTGTACATCACGTCATACAACATATATACGAACAGATAATATTCATACTGAACAGGGGGCGGTGGGGTAGCCTAGTGGTTAAGGCGTTCGCTCGTCACGCTGAAGACCCGGGTTCGATTCCCCAGATGGGCACAATGTGTGAAGCTCATTTCTGGTGTCCCCGCCGTGATATTGCTGGAATATTGCTAAAAGCGGCGTAAAACTAAACTTACTCATAAACGTATAAACTCACTCACTCATACTGAACAGTGATTCCAGTGGCCTTAAGTACTAGGAATAGAACCACTTGTCTGTCAGTCAAAACATTCAACATTCATACATATTCATGTAAAGAACAAAATGCTTCGTAAATGGAAATACATATCTCTTGCACGATCCGAAAGTCATTATACATCCTTGCATTGATTTTCCGTGTGAGGAGAAATGTCAAAAACGTCCTTTGTTATCCAGGGATGGGGATGATGATAAGGATTGTTACAGTTTGTGCTCTAATCGATTAGGTTCGTCTTATGCTCCAACTATCGGTCTGTCTGTCCAGACTCGATAATTTTCACAGTCATAACGAAACTTCAATATGGCTGACAGTTGCTGAAAACAACATTCACCCACTCACTCTCTGGTCTGAAAGGAGATCGCAGAGTTGCATCCCTCTGAAGTTCCCAAAACCAATAATTTTGGTGTGTATGCACAATACTCACGCTCTTGGATTTTACTAAATGTAAATGTGTTTTACCTTCATCAGTGACCCGTGAAGATCCGGGTTAGAACTGGTCTTCAGCAACCCACGCTTGTCGTAAGAGGCGACTAACGGGATCGGGTGGTCAGGCTCGTTGACTTGGTTGACACATGTCATCGTATCCCAACTGCGCAGATCGATCATCATGCTGTTGATCACTGGATTGTCTGGTCAAGACTCTACAGACCGCCGTCATATAGCTGGAATATTGCAGAGTGCGGCGTAAAACAAAAAACAAACAAAACCTGCATCAGTTGAGGCTTGTACCCCGACATGAAGCTGACATACTGAGCATACCGTACTGGAATACTCTCTAAAACAGCGTCAAACCAATCTCTCCTTCCATCTCGAGGTCATACAACAGTGGCGAGAGCAGGAAACCGCGCCTATCGATCTGCCTTCAATGGCGGATTTTGCTCTTAAC